GAGGAGGGCCCAATAGGCAGACATTGAAAGCAGACTAACGTGCGGTATGATCTAGACTCTATACAGACAGCGGAAAGGGTCAGACAGACAGATATAACGAAACAGACAATAAATAGACAGACATACCTAAACTAATTCAAAATATGCATGTTTGTTATTTGGAGTTTTGAGAATAATGCTGGTCTGACGCACAAGACAGATTTACGGGTAGGACAGCTGACATACAGAAACATCAGACAGACACACACGAAGAGAGTAACCGCTAAAAGGACAGACAGACAGACACAGACAGACACAGACAGACAGACACAGATACAGACACAGACACAGACAGACAGACACAAACAGACACAGACAGACAGACAGACAGACACAGAGACACAGACAGACTGACACAGACAGACAGACAGACAGGCAGACAGATAGACAGACAGACACAGACACAGACAGACAGACAGACACAGACAGACCACCAGGTAAACAATGGAGGAACTCAGGTCACGCCAGATGGAATTTTTTCCTCACGAAAATCGATTGAAATTTTTTCCTTGAACTGACAACAGCCCCGAGGCTGTTGGTGAAAACACCAAGTCGATTTCACGTTAGATCACGTCATGTAGGTCACGTCACGTCACGTCACATCGTTCACGTTACCTGTTTTTTCACTCTTTTCAGAACACACACGTGTCAACTCACACTGTGTGAACCCTACACGTCACAGCCCGTGAACCCTATACATCACAGCACGTGAACCCTACACATCACATCACGTGAACCCTACACGTCACAGCACGTGAACCCTACACATCACATCACGTGAACCCTACACGTCACAGCCAGTGAACCGTACACATCACATCACGTGAACCCTACAAATCACGTGAACCCTATACATCACAGCCCGTGAACCCTACACACACAAAAACGTCAACTCCCGTACTAATAATTGTCCCAACTTAACATAAGATCTACGACAACTTGGTAGATGTGCACAATAAGATGTATGAAGGTGTGGATGTAGGGGTGGATGTAGAGGTAGATGTAGGGGTGGATGTAGGGGTGGATGTAGGGGTGGATGTAGAGGTGGATGTAGAGGTGGATGTAGCGGTGGATGTAGGGGTGGATGTAGAGGTGGATGTAGAGGTGGATGTAGCGGTGGATGTAGGGGTGGATGTAGCGGTGGATGTAGGGGTGGATGTAGCGGTGGATGTAGGGGTGGATGTAGGGGTGGATGTAGCGGTGGATGTAGAGGTGGATGTAGAGGTGGATGTAGAGGTGGATGTAGAGGTGGATGTAGAGGTGGATGTAGAGGTGGATGTAGCGGTGGATGTAGCGGTGGATGTAGGGGTGGATGTAGGGGTGGATGTAGGGGTGGATGTAGGGGTGGATGTAGCGGTGGATGTAGCGGTGAATGTAGGGGTGGATGTAGCGGTGGATGTAGGGGTGGATGTAGCGGTGGATGTAGGGGTGGATGTAGGGGTGGATGTAAATGTTAGGATTAAGATTAAGGCTGGGGTTGGGGTTGACGTTTATGCAGATGTTGAAGTTGATATTGAGTTGATGTGAATGCCGATGTGTTGGTTGATGTAGGGCTATATGTTGAGGTGGATATAGAGATGGATTCTGTAGCCAAGCCAATGACATGGGATTTATTAAGCCCAATGTCATTTTCAAATCAAAGAAAATAAAATCATTTCCTTGAGAGTCAGTCAATAGCAGACGACGGACAGGAGGGGGGGGGGGGGGGAGAGCAGAGGGGTGGATGGTGCCCTGTTGAACAGACAAGCTGGAACATTGATTTATACAACCCCCCTCCCCCCTCAAACATTTCAAGTCTGTCCACAATCTTGGCTTTTAGCCCAGTATCTTAGATGTTGTGATCTACCAGATGATGTTGTGATCTACCAGATGATGTTGTGATCTACCAGATGATGTTGTGATCTCTCAGACAGATGATGTTGTAATCTACCAGATGATGTTCTGATCTAACAGATGATGTTGTGATCTACCAGATAATATTGTGATCTATCAGATGATGTTCTGATCTAACAGATGATGTTGTGATCTACCAGATGATGTTCTGATCTACCTGATGATGTTGTGATCTACCAGATGATGTTTTGATCTACCAGATGATGTTGTGATCTCTCAGACAGATGATGTTGTGATCTACCAGATGATGTTCTGATCTAACAGATGATGTTGTGATCTACCAGATGATGTTGTGATCTACCAGATGATGTTGTGATCTACCAGATGATGTTGTGATCTACCAGATGATGTTGTGATCTATCAGATGATGTTCTGATCTAACAGATGATGTTGTGATCTACCAGATGATGTTCTGATCTACCTGATGATGTTGTGATCTACCAGATGATGTTTTGATCTACCAGATGATGTTGTGATCTACCAGACAGATGATGTTTTGATCTACCAGATGATGTTCTGATCTACCAGATGATGTTGTGATCTACCAGATGATGTTGTGATCTACCAGATGATGTTGTGATCTACCAGATGATGTGATCTACCAGATGATGTTGTGATCTACCAGATGATGTTGTGATCTACCAGATGATGTTGTGATCTACCAGATGATGTTGTGATCTACCAGATGATGTTGTGATCTATCAGATGATGTTCTGATCTAACAGATGATGTTGTGATCTACCAGATGATGTTCTGATCTACCTGATGATGTTGTGATCTACCAGATGATGTTTTGATCTACCAGATGATGTTGTGATCTACCAGACAGATATGTTTTGATCTACCAGATGATGTTCTGATCTACCAGATGATGTTGTGATCTACCAGATGATGTTGTGATCTACCAGATGATGTTGTGATCTACCAGATGATGTGATCTACCAGATGATGTTGTGATCTACCAGATGATGTTGTGATCTATCAGATGATGTTCTGATCTACCAGATGATGTTGTGATCTATCAGATGATGTTCTGATCTAACAGATGATGTTGTGATCTACCAGATGATGTTGGGATCTACCAGATGATGTTGTGATCTATCAGATGATGTTCTGATCTAACAGATGATGTTGTGATCTACCAGATGATGTTCTGATCTACCAGGTGATGTTCTGATCTATCAGATGATGTTGTCATCTACCAGATGATGTTTTAGATCTTAGGTTTAAAGACCAGATGATGATATCAGCGTGATGTGCGTGGGGTTGGGATTGTGGTAAAGATTGGAATTCAATGATGCAGTTTGTGGATAAAAAAATTGTATACGAATACAAAGTTGGTGGATATGACCGAAAACCTGGCAATGGGAGGGAAGGGGTAAAATGTAGGAGGGAAGGGGTAAAATGTAGGATGGGCGGGGGAGGGGAGTACAGAACAAAGGGATCGACCAGGCAGCGAGAAAAAAAATGTCGAATTCCATAGCGGAGCTAATCAATTAGATCTAATCGATGAGTGACCATGTTGTTGGTGTGTTTTACAGTGGAGCTGTGTGTGTTGGTCTGTACATGGGCACTTTCTGGTGTCACGTGATTTAGTTAGTGTTATCAATGGGGGGGGGGGGGGGGGGGGTAGGGAGTGATGGTTATGAGGTGAGTTAGAGTGAGATTACAGGGAGGTTAGAGTGGGGTTAGAGTGAAGTTAAAATGGAGTTAGAGTTGGGTACAGTGGGATAGAGTGGGGTTAGAGTGACCTTGTGTGTGAGGATTGAAGTCAGTTCTTAGATCGGATAGGTTGGAGGTTGGAAGTTATGACGAACAGAGATTAATGTTTGGCTGGGGGTGGGGAGTGTCTGCCAGCCGCCCCCCCCCAACACACGTGACAGCCTGACTCACCATAGAGCTGACTTTCGACGGTCTGCCACCCCCCCCCCAACACACGTGACAGCCTGACTCACCATAGAGCTGACTTTCGACGGTCTGCCACCCCCCCCCACCCAACACACGTGACAGCCTGACTCACCATAGAGCTGACTTTCGACGGTCTGCCACCCCCCCCCCCCCCCCAACACACTTGACAGCACGAGCCTGACTCACCATAGAGCTGACTTTCGACGGTCTGCCACCCCCCCCCCCAACAAACACGTGACAGCCTGACTCACCATAGAGCTGACTTTCGACGGTCTGCCACCCCCCCCCCCCAACACACGTGACAGCCTGACTCACCATAGAGCTGACTTTCGACGGTCTGCCACCCCCCCCCCCCAACACACGTGACAGCCTGACTCACCATAGAGCTGACTTTCGACGGTCTGCCACCCCCCCCCCCCAGCACGAGCTTGACTCACCATAGAGCTGACTTTCGACGGTCTGCCACCCCCCCCCCCCAACACACTTGACAGCACGAGCCTGACTCACCATAGAGCTGACTTTCGACGGTCTGCCACCCCCCCCCCCCAACACACGTGACAGCCTGACTCACCATAGAGCTGACTTTCGACGGTCTGCCACCCCCCCCCCCCAACACACGTGACAGCCTGACTCACCATAGAGCTGACTTTCGACGGTCTGCCACCCCCCCCCCCTCCCCCCAACACACGTGACAGCCTGACTCACCATAGAGCTGACTTTCGACGGTCTGCCACCCCCCCCCCCAACACACGTGACAGCCTGACTCACCATAGAGCTGACTTTCGACGGTCTGCCACCCCCCCCCCCCCCAACACACGTGACAGCCTGACTCACCATAGAGCTGACTTTCGACGGTCTGCCACCCCCCCCCCCCAACACACGTGACAGCCTGACTCACCATAGAGCTGACTTTCGACGGTCTGCCACCCCCCCCCCCCAACACACGTGACAGCCTGACTCACCATAGAGCTGACTTTCGACGGTCTGCCACCCCCCCCCCCCCCCAACACACGTGACAGCCTGACTCACCATAGAGCTGACTTTCGACGGTCTGCCACCCCCCCCCCCAACACACGTGACAGCCTGACTCACCATAGAGCTGACTTTCGACGGTCTGCCACCCCCCCCCCCCCCCCAACACACGTGACAGCCTGACTCACCATAGAGCTGACTTTCGACGGTCTGCGCATGCCGGGGGACGAGGTTCGAAACAGTTCCAGCTTGTGGGAGACCTGGCTGGGCCGTCGGATCGTGACGTCATACGTGTCACGTGTCATGGTCTCCTGACACGGTCACCAGCCGGGGTTGGGGGTCATCGCGTGGGTCACGGGGCACTTGTAATCCAAAGAGAAAAATCACAAGGGAGCTAACACAAATCACGTGGTCCAATCCAACTGACAAAGTCACGTGGTACACGAGAGAAGAACTTAACACTTCATTTTTGGTTTGGTGCCGTTCATGGTGGTCTCCAGGTGCCGGCTGCAGCTCTGGAGGGCTGGAACCATTTGCTGGGGCCGAGTCTTGGAGCAACGTCCGGTCTAGGGGCAGTCAAGCACGTGACCTTGGCCCGACATCTCACCCAGCGGTGATGTTTGCTGTCTGACCGCTGGTCACGTGATGTTTGCTGTCTGACCGCTAGTCACGTGATGTTTGCTGTCTGACCACTGGTCACGTGATGTTTGGTGTCTGACCACTGGTCACGTGATGTTTGCTGTCTGACAGCTGGTCACGTGATGTTTGCTGTCTGACCACTGGTCACGTGATGTTTGGTGTCTGACCACTGGTCACGTGATGTTTGCTGTCTGACAGCTGGTCACGTGATGTTTGCTGTCTGACCGCTGGTCACGTGATGTTTGCTGTCTGACCACTGGTCACGTGATGTTTGGTGTCTGACCACTGGTCACGTGATGTTTGCTGTCTGACAGCTGGTCACGTGATGTTTGCTGTCTGACCGCTGGTCACGTGATGTTTGCTGTCTGACCGCTGGTCACGTGATGTTTGGTGTCTGACCACTGGTCACGTGATGTTTGCTGTCTGACAGCTGGTCACGTGATGTTTGCTGTCTGACCGCTGGTCACGTGAAGTTTGGTGTCTGACCGCTAGTCACGTGATCTGAATGTTGTGTAACCGTCGCTGGCGGCGGGAAGACAACTCCAGCAGACGAGACCGATTGTTTCCCCTGGATCTTGTGTCGCCTGCACACTTCAATCATCAACTGGCGCGCATGCGCGGCTCGTGTTGCGTAATGCTGGGCCTACAGGGAAAAAATGGTGCTTGATAGATCAATAATGCGCAGACAGCCAAGATAATCTGGAGGTTAATTTAGCAGAATATATTTGGATGGGTTTTGAAATGCGAGCAAATGACAAGAATGGTTAGGACGTGGAACAAGTTAAAAGTGCTGAAATTAGCATAACAGAAGTGGCACAGTTACCCACACTTAGTCCAACTGAATGACGTCATTATAAGCAGGGTTGATGTATTTTTAAAACAATCATGACTTCCTGTTTCTAGCTGTCTTTTCTCGTGAATAACATGTATACATGTGTCTACAGGGCTACAGGTGTCTACATGGCTACAGGTGTCTACAGGTGTCTACAGGTGTCTACATGGCTACAGGTGTCTACAGGGCTACAGGTGTCTACAGGTGTCTACAGGGCTACAGGTGTCTACAGGGCTACAGGTGTCTACAGGTGTCTACAGGGCTACAGGTGTCTACAGGTGTCTACAGGGCTACAGGTGTCTACAGGGCTACAGGTGTCTACAGGTGTCTACAGGGCTACAGGTGTCTACAGGGCTACAGGTGTCTACAGGTGTCTACAGGGCTACAGGTGTCTACAGGGCTACAGGTGTCTACAGGGCTACAGGTGTCTACAGGGCTACATGTGTCTACAGGGCTACTGGTGTCTACAGGGCTACAGGTGTCTACAGGGCTACAGGTGTCTACAGGGCTACAGGTGTCTACAGGGCTACAGGTGTCTACAGGGCTACATGTGTCTACAGGGCTACTGGTGTCTACAGGGCTACAGGTGTCTACAGGGCTACAGGTGTCTACAGGTGTCTACAGGGCTACAGGTGTCTACAGGGCTACAGGTGTCTACAGGTGTCTACAGGTGTCTACAGGGCTACAGGTGTCTACAGGGCTACAGGTGTCTACAGGGCTACATGTGTCTACATGTGTCTACAGGGCTACAGGTGTCTACAGGTGTCTACAGGGCTACAGGTGTCTACAGGGCTACAGGTGTCTACAGGTGTCTACAGGGCTACAGGTGTCTACATGGCTACAGGTGTCTACAGGGCTACAGGTGTCTACATGTGTCTACAGGGCTACAGGTGTCTACAGGTGTCTACAGGGCTACAGGTGTCTACAGGGCTACAGGTGTCTACATGGCTACATGTGTCTACAGGTGTCTACAGGGCTACAGGTGTCTACATGTCTACAGGTGTCTACAGGGCTACAGGTGTCTACATGGCTACATGTGTCTACAGGGCTACAGGTGTCTACAGGGCTACAGGTGTCTACAGGGCTACATGTGTCTACAGGGCTACAGGTGTCTACAGGGCTACAGGTGTCTACATGGCTACAGGTGTCTACATGGCTACAGGTGTCTACAGGGCTACAGGTGTCTACATGGCTACAGGTGTCTACATGGCTACAGGTGTCTACAGGGCTACAGGTGTCTACAGGGCTACAGGTGTCTACAGGGCTACATGTGTCTACATGTGTCTACAGGTGTCTACAGGGCTACAGGTGTCTACAGGGCTACATGTGTCTACATGTGTCTACAGGTGTCTACATGGCTACAGGTGTCTACAGGGCTACAGGTGTCTACATGGCTACAGGTGTCTACAGGGCTACAGGTGTCTACAGGTGTCTACAGGGCTACAGGTGTCTACAGGGCTACAGGTGTCTACATGGCTACATGTGTCTACAGGTGTCTACAGGGCTACAGGTGTCTACATGTCTACAGGTGTCTACAGGGCTACAGGTGTCTACATGGCTACATGTGTCTACAGGGCTACTGGTGTCTACATGGCTACAGGTGTCTACATGGCTACAGGTGTCTACAGGGCTACAGGTGTCTACATGGCTACAGGTGTCTACATGGCTACAGGTGTCTACAGGGCTACAGGTGTCTACAGGGCTACTGGTGTCTACAGGGCTACAGGTGTCTACAGGGCTACAGGTGTCTACAGGGCTACAGGTGTCTACATGTGTCTACAGGTGTCTACATGGCTACAGGTGTCTACAGGGCTACAGGTGTCTACATGGCTACAGGTGTCTACAGGGCTACAGGTGTCTACAGGGCTACAGGTGTCTACATGGCTACAGGTGTCTACAGGTGTCTACATGGCTACAGGTGTCTACAGGTGTCTACAGGGCTACAGGTGTCTACAGGGCTACAGGTGTCTACAGGGCTACAGGTGTCTACATGGCTACAGGTGTCTACAGGTGTCTACAGGGCTACATGTGTCTACATGTGTCTACAGGGCTACAGGTGTCTACAGGGCTACAGGTGTCTACAGGGCTACAGGTGTCTACAGGTGTCTACAGGGCTACAGGTGTCTACAGGGCTACAGGTGTCTACAGGGCTACAGGTGTCTACAGGTGTCTACAGGGCTACAGGTGTCTACAGGGCTACAGGTGTCTACAGGGCTACAGGTGTCTACAGGGCTACTGGTGTCTACAGGGCTACAGGTGTCTACAGGGCTACAGGTGTCTACAGGGCTACAGGTGTCTACAGGGCTACAGGTGTCTACAGGGCTACAGGTGTCTACAGGGCTACAGGTGTCTACAGGGCTACAGGTGTCTACAGGGCTACAGGTGTCTACATGGCTACAGGTGTCTACAGGGCTACAGGTGTCTACAGGGCTACAGGGCTACAGGTAATTTTATAAGCTTTCGTTTGATTTCTAGGACAAACGACAATTTCTAATTTTCAATTAGGCATTAAACTAGTCATTAAATAAAATATTGATCAATAAACAGAGATGTTATCACGTGATCAGCAAACGACGGTTAGCTGTTGGTCATGGGTGGCTGGCTCGACCAAATACATCGATAAGGTGCAGATAATTATCTTTGATGAATCTCAAGCTAATGATCTGTTCTAAACTATTTTTAGTCGTCATATTAGGAGCGAACAAAACAAAAGTTGTTTTTCAAAGCTTAAATATTGGCGAATTTTTCACCACAACACCCCCTCCCCACACCCACACCACCTCCCCATCCACACCACCTTCTCCCCACCCACACCACCTCCCCACACCCACACCACCTCCACACCCACACCACCTCCCCACCCACACCACCTCCCCACACCCACACCACCTCCACACCCACACCACCTCCCCACCCACACCACCTCCCCACACCCACACCACCTCCACACCCACACCATCTTCCTCCACCCACACCACCTCCCCACCCACACCATCTTCCTCCACCCACACCACCTCCCCTCACCCTCGGTCAAGTACTATAGGAGCTGTATGTATGGTTATCGTTATTGATCTCATGTTAAGTAAAGGTTGCACGCATGCCAGCCCTTATGTGGTTGCTATCAAAAAAATATCTTACGTGCTACAACCTGCTAGCTAGCTACTTAACAACATATTAGCTACAGTTATAACTACCTGTTAGCTATAGCTATAATTATCTGCTAGCTTCAGCTATAACTATCGGCTACCTTTTCAGCTTTCCAGACAACTTTTGAAAAAATCGATTCTAACAGCTAAGGAAACACGGTATCGATTCCTTCAAGTCCTCACAACCTTGGTGAAATCGATTCCTTCAAGTCCTCACAACCTAGGTGAAATCGATTCCTTCAAGTCCTCACAACCTAGGTGAAATCGATTACTCCAACATCTTAGAGCTGACAGGACTCGTCTCGCAATTCCATTTCGCTTTCCCTGCCCAACCATCAACCCTTAGACTACCATCAACCCTATGACAACCATCAACCCTAAGACAACCATCAATCCTAAGACAACCATCAATCCTAAGACAACCACCAACCCTAAGCCAACCACCAACCCTAAGCCAACTACCAACCACCAACCCTAAGCCAACCACCAACCATGGCCCCTAAAACAACCGATTGTAAAAAAAAGGTAAATATAATCCAAGATGGCCGCCATAACTATGGTAACGGCAGTAAAACATTTCGACCTTTTTATTTATTTTTTAGCTTAAGCTCAGCTCTTTGAGTTATAACTATATGCCAAATATGAGAGCATTAGGTTTAGAAATAAGCTCTGTGTTTGTTTTGGTCCTGAGCACCCGCCCATGACCCTCTAACCGACCCAGTCTTTGATCGTGTTTTTTAATACAAATTCTAAATGAGCGTGAAGAAAACATAGTAAATGTGACTTGCTGTCTTCAATTCGTGAAGAAAACATAGTAAATGTGACTTGCTGTCTTCAATTCGTGAAGAAAACATAGTAAATGTGACTTGCTGTCTTCAATTCGTGAAGAAAACATAGTAAATGTGACTTGCTGTCTTCAATTCGTGAAGAAAACATAGTAAATGTGACTTGCTGTCTTCAATTCGTCGCAACAATACCACTGTCTGTAATGGCCACGTTTATCACGGTCATTACATCACAAAACAGGATCACGTCAAAAGGCCGACACGGTAAGAAGGCTGTCGTCGAATCAAAACGTCAACAATACGCAATAAGGACAGATTAGGCCGACAGACGAAAGCCCTACGGCCTGAAAAAAGTCACAAAACACAACGCTGTGCCAACATTTCTGTAACGTGAAAAATGGCCCGTTGAGGAAGGATACAACTGGCGCTAGGTTAATAGTACTGTCTATTTTCTCTAAACTAAAACCAAAACCAAAATCACCAACTTAATTCAATTTAACCGGAAACGAAAAATGACATTAAAAACGGATTTTATCCAGAATCGGTACTTTAATAGGATTAAAGCTTGATCTCTACGTAGTTACTGCACATTGATACTAAATTTAGTTGCAGCCATACTTCTAAACCTTGCAACTAATCTCAATCATGACAAAAGTCGCATTTAGAGTTTCTTTTAGTCGACTGTACCTGCCCCCCCCCCCCCCCCCCCACACACACCTCAAAGCACATCTACCGTCCCATACAACGAAATAGAATTTATAAAGAAAATATACTTCACCTGTGTACGCCCCCTGCCAGAAAATTTAGTCCACACGCACCCCCGAAATTTTCAAGTACCCCCCCCCCCCTCAGGAGAGGAAAAAGTCTGAAAGAAACACTG